ATAACCTTAGAAACTCCATATTCTTTTGCTCTAAAATAATAAAAAAAATCATTTGAATTTATACATAGTTGGTAATAAATGAATAACCGTTATTAGTTTTAGACTTTTCATCCATAAATTGATGTATGTCTTGGCAAGTAGTTCGGATTTTATCAAACTAGTTTATAACTTTAGTCAAACAGTTGTAAATAAATAAAAAACTAAAACAAACTTGGTTTCAAGTTCTAACTTCTATATGTAAATACCGTTTAAATGTATTATTATTGAAATTTATAATAAATTAATTTACTGATATATGTACCTGTAAATCCCCATTTACCTACACAAGACAAGACTTCTTTCTAACCTTCCCCAAGGGATTTATTTATTTTGTACCTTTGCCAAGTCACTTTAGTTTTTCTTATAGAAATCTCACCCTAGATTTCGAAGGTATAACGTGGCAAAGAATTTTCCTACATTTTTACACTGAGCATAGGAGGCTCTTTGAGAGTTCTTGCTACGTCCACGTGCTGCGACCCCTCCGATGGGTCAATGTCGCCGCCAAGAAATGACGCTCCTCTTCAGTCCAAGTGTTTGCTTAGGCGGCCGAACAAATCTTTAAATTGCCATAAATTATAAGAATTAGGGGTATAATATTAGATACGGCTGCCAGAGTTGCGCAAACACATTCGCCGGAGTCAAGTGCAGAGTGCCGATGGACAGACGAACGGCGGCGAATGGAACGGAATTAATGGGTCTGCCCTTTGATGGCCCCCGAAGAGTTGAGCTATCGAATAAATCATTGCGTTGACCTTCCCCCAGTGCCATTCCCTCCGGTTCTGGTCCACATAAAAGTCTCCCGAGATCGAACTTTTATTTGAATGTTCCGGGTGTTAATGGCCGGCGAAACATTTGGACAAATAGTTTCTATTCCTAAACTGGAACTTTTTATCGTAACTATTCGGTGATTAAAAATCGCCTGATTTTTATTACTATTACACAAAGAGAAATGGTAGTTTATTTGAGGGTTTTTATATTGCTTTTGTATTTATTATTAAAAGAAAGAATCTCAAATGTGTTCCTTGGCCTTAGTAAGAACAAATATATCCATACTGAAACCCAATTTCCTATTTAAACTAACCTTGTCACAGATTTTATTCCTAATTTCATAATTCAAACAATAATAATAATTCACACAGACTTATATGTTTTTGTGCTAATAAAATTATAGGCATGCTTGCAATTTTTTTTTGGGGTGTATAATCGTAACATTACACGAACGGCGATGTTTATGCACGGATTTTTGGGCCAGCTGCCGCACATGTTGCCAGCGAGGCGCCACCCACTCAATGCCAATGTCCAGAGCATATGGTGGCACGGCACAGGCCGAGGCACACACCATAACCCACCCACCCACAGCCACACCCACCCACACACACCAAACACACACGCCCAGTCGATTCTATTTCCATTTGGATGTCATCTCTATTTTTAGGCTGCGCGGAGGAGCATGGAGATCGCCCTGTGTGGCATGAAGGCAGGGCAACTCTTTCGCGTATCATAAATTAATCTATTTCGAATCGAAAACTATGAATTCCCAAACGCAAAATTATGATCCATTTGTCTTCACGCACGCGCTTTTCGTAATTTCTCTAATTACGAATATTCCATTGTTTACAATTTGTCCGCACAACACACATTTCCTTGAGTGTGCGCTCGATTTGCTGTGCGCTGTGTAAACATTCCGCTTTTTGTTTATATCAGCCAGCAGCAAAGTGCAGCGGATTAATAAGCGTCAATTGGGGGCACTTCACTGGGTTCTGTGTGACTTGCCCCGAATTTTCATTCGTTTTTGTTGTTTTTTAAATACAATGTATGCAAATATTGCTCCTGGCCCACATTGTTGTTGGCTAAGGTTGCACTTGAGGGTTGGATGTGGATGCTGACTGTGTTACTTTATTATTTTTGATGCCTTTGTGTTTGTAATTAGTTGATGATGCTGATTCCTAGTTGAAAAAGGCGGAAATGGTAGCATTTTCTTGTTGTACCTAAAAATGCAATTAATTTTTGGGTAACTTTGACTCACTCTAATTTCACGTCAACTTTTGTTTTCTATTTTTAAAATAGAAAAAAAAACATTAAAGTGTTTTCTATAATGATTATTTTTTATATTCTTCAAAGAAAAACCTTTTTGTAAAGTTTTTGGAATTTAGTTTATTGTTTAGGCATTAGTAGTAGTTTTTATTCACTCAAAATCTTTAGAATTCTGGAAATAATATAGTGGCACATTATTGTTTTAATAGCTTTCCTTTCGCACACATTCACCCAATAAAAAGGCTATTAATGGATTTAAATTAATCAAAAAACCCATGAGTAATACCTTACATATATTTTTCCTATGACAATATTTTCTCCGAATAAAGTTTGTTTTCATTAGATTCATTTTGAAACTAAAGATACCACATGACAAGGATTACGCCTGTTGGTTTAACTAGTTAATTTACTACTAAAGCTCATGTTGCTAATATTTATTCTATTTAATATATTAAAGTAGCTGGGTTGTTGATAGTTTTGGAGTTCTTAAAACTTTTAATGTTGCTACAGTAACTGATTTCATTAGTAGGCTTGTTGCTCCTGCTATTGTTTTTACTGCTTTTGTTTTTACTGCTATTGTTATTGTTGTTATTGCCTTTGCTGTTAAAGCTGAAGCTTAATCGCTGCCTCTGTTATAGCTACTGTTATTATTATAAACATATGTTGCTGCTGTTGCTGCTGTTGATGCTGCTCTTGTAACTGCTTTTCCTAATGTTGCTTTTGCTTACAACCTTCAATGTTGCTATTGTTGTTTTGTTGCTGAGACTCTTGATATTTTTGCTTCTTTTTTAGCTGCTATACAAGCTGTCAATGTTGATGAAGCTATTGTTGTAACTAATTATGTATACTGCTAATGCTTATGTTGCTGAAATGGCTACGTAATTGCTGGCTATGTAAATCCAGCTGCTGATGTTGATAATGTTCTTATTGTTGCATATATTACCAGCTCATGACAGCAACATGATGTTGATGTTGCTACTTTTAGCTACTTTGTTGCTGCTGCTTTATTATTGTTACAGGCAAGCAACAAGTTGCCGAAACTCAAGAGCTTTCTAGGAAATATGGTCGACTGCTGCTCTTCTTTTCTCATTTAAATTCACTGCATTTGTGTAACAGCCCAGAATTTTCCCAGCTGACACACTGTAATATGCAAATCTCACCAGACTTGGCTATGAGTAATTCCTCGTACTATAAGGCCCACCGATCTACGTAATTGTTTATAAATATGGGCGGCGCTGGCAGCCGTTCAGACAGATGGCGTCATTTGTTTGCGTTGAATGTGGTCAAGAATTTGTTCGGCGTTCCATCTGAACCATTTTGAACCATTTCTCGGGTTGACTAAGCCGCGGAAGGTAAACAAAGCGAAAGTCAGCCGGCGTTGGGCAAGAAATGGATATTCGGACTCGGTTTATTGCTCTGTTATTTGAAACAAACTCTTTTCGTTTTTCACTTTTCACTGCGAGACGGGACGCGACGCACCCGTTGCGCCCATAAATTAACTGGGCCAAGCACTCTGATCTCATGCAAAAAGTCAGCGCCCATAAATTCAAATGTCTTTATAAATAAGCAAACGCGAGCGGCGGACCCCAAGCCAACACTAAAATAAAATTAACTGTATAAATTATAAATCAGGCATCACCATTGCCAATTAAAAGGGGCCAGGCATCGGAGAATCTAATGAAAAAACAACTGAAATTAGCGGAGAAGCACACTTCAAATCAAAACGGCGCCAAACTTCGCTCAGCAACATGTTGCCAGCGGGCGGCGCAGCATGTGCCCGAGTAAAGCCGGTAAATTTGCAAAAAGAGAGCAATCTCGCTCTCACATTTTATGACGATTTTAGGAGGCAGAGATAAGCGAGTGTCGTGTTTACGCTTCTCTCTACATGTAAAGAAAACTATCTTCTTGTCAGGGTATAAAAATAAACCCAACAGCTGTAGATGCAGTAATATTATCTTAAATATGATAACAGATTATTTTGTAACACTATAATTTTAGAAAAAATTGTTAAACAAATATAGTAGAACTGATACAAATAAAGTATTACTCAAAATGATATTCAGAACTATCATAATGAGTTGTTAATTCTAATGGAAAATAAGACATTTCCGGCCATTTGTGTTTGCAACTTTTCTACGGAAAAAAATTTCAAAAAATAAAGCAAAGCTCTCACGCAATTTTATGAGCTTAAAACTTTTCTAGAAATTATAATTCCTAAAGGAATTTGAAAGTTTTAAGTAAAATTATATCGAAATTTTAAAGTTATGTGGAATAGTTAAAGGAATAAAAAAGATAAGAAACAATTTCAATACAATTTCTACACTGGGCCGAATATAAGAGAATTTTATCTAAAACGTAAGTAAATTTGATAATACATATACCATCTTTTAATATCCAACACAGTTCTATTTGTTTTTGATCATGCCTATTTTCACCGTCCATCTAAAGCAACATGGCGTATACGTGATTATACAAATCAAAGTTTCCAGAGCATGCAAAAATATTTAATAATTAAACAATTTTGATGCCTAAATATAGGTAAAAATGATGGTCTAATTGTTGTATAATGAGTTAACTTCATTTATTAATTTCATTTATTCGATTTTCAAAATTTTAATTAATTTATGCATATTTGATATACTCCATTAAAGATTTCAAACTCAAAGCGTTTTCTATGACCTCTCTGGTATTTATTTATCTTGCCAAGAACTAGCACAATTTTTTTTTCTCTGCACCTATCTTCTCTCTCTCTCATGGCAACAACAGCATCACAGTAGCAACGACGTCACAACAAACCCAAAGCGGCAAGGAGAGAGGCGAGAGCATAGCAGAGCGTAATATCAAGCCGGCGGCACTCGAGCTTTGCGTTCGCTTTTTGGCGATTGGCAGTCGCCAGTTGGCAGTCGCCGCCAGTCGCAATTTTCCGGTCGTGGCGAACAGACGCGTTTCTCATCGCTCCGTCGAGACACCGAGTTGTCGGCCGTTAGAAGTAGCAAATAGTGGCCCATAACGAAATAGCATCTCATCTCTTAGCCCGAAACTCCGAACGACTTGACCACAACAAGTGCGATTGTTTCATTTTCATAGTTCATAGCCGCAGCAGTGTGCCACTCGGTCGCCGGTGTCCAGTGCCGCCTCTCTCCTCCTCTTGGCAGGTGTTGTTACAGGTGAAATTTCGCGTCGTTGTCGTGCCGGTTAGATTAGCCTGACACCTTCGCTTCGCTTCGATTTCGAGAGTGCCCGCGCCAAAAAATCCCGCTAATTGGCTTGATTTTCGTACCAGCTAATAAATATCGAGTTTCAATATTCGCGTCCGTGTCCTACTGCCAGCGGAAGCAAGTATATATATCCGGACATAGAATATATATGCTATTTGGCAACAGTCCATCATCGAGGGAGCTCTGCCTATTTGCATTTCAAATTATTTGCACTCTCGACGGCAAAGAAAAGGTAAGAAGTGGCTAAGTGGAAATCAAACAAGAAATGGAACAATTAACTCGAACAATTTTCAATTCGATTTCTGGATATTCTTTCGATATTTGCATAACTAGATGGGGATATATATATGTATACTCGTGTGCCTTCCTAGAAATTTGAATTTTTTCGTTTCATTATTTTTTTGCTCGACCATTTTCTTTGGTGGCATAAATTATCCCGCTCTCGCGTGATATTCTATTCTATTCGGGCACAATTCTAATTAAGTGCTGAGACCTGCCCCAATGATGTTTGCCACTCCCACGACCCTTTCGCTTCACCTCTGACCCCTGGGGTTTGGTTACACATGGAAAAAGGTAGCAATATCTTAGATTCTTGAAGTGTTTTTATTTTTATAGTAATTGTGTAGCTAAGTGATTTAAAAAATGTAGCAACTTTTTATCGAATTTCAAAATATTAATGTGTTATTTTCAAAAGTGACTGTTTTAATTAGTTGAAAATACGTGTTTTATTTTCTAAAAATATCAATTGCATTTATAAAATCACTTATAAGCCATATGTAGAATCTAATTTTTATAGAATTATATGCTTTTTTTTGGAAATACTTGTCTATATTTTCTTGCGTTTTTTATTCAATTTATTTTAGGTGATAGAACTGATATCTTATCTATGTTATACAAAATCATCCATCACTAAATGTTAATCAATGGCTTTTTATTGATATGATTAACCTACTTTTGATATGCCAAACAAAAAGGTTTTTTCTATTGCCATAAAATTATAATTGATATAGTTTTTAAATAATAAGGAAACTAATAATATAGGAATTATTAATTCCACTAGGGTTAGTTAACAAGTAGCTAAAAGGATAACAAATGTTGTAGATACCTAGCTTTCTTTTTAACTAATTTATTAGAATCATAACATTAGACTTTCGATATTAATCTAAATTATCATCACATAATAAATCATAAAAGTTCAATAATTCATTGCCAAATAAAACTAGGCTGTGCTAAAAATACTCAACCGAGATTAAAATAAATGAAATGTCATAATGATAAGAGTTATGAGGTAACAGTGCCGAAAAACTGATTAGCAAATTTGTTGACACTTTTTTGTCGCCGTGCACTTTTTACCGCCTCTTCAGTGCCGCTGTTATTGGCCTTTCTTTTTTCCGTTTTTTTTTGCTATCTGAGCTCTTGTTGGAATTGTTAACAAAACTGTAGATTTATGCAGTAGATTAGCTCGTCAACGCCGCGAAGCGAAGGCCAAAGGACATGCTCTCCAAAAGGGCCAAATCCGCTTATTAATGAGCTGTCACTGGGCAGTGGGACACGAGGTTTAAGGGGGCGTGGCATCGGTCAGTCTTGGTCATCAATTAACGTTAATGCGGCAATGTCGTCAGTGCTGGCTGCTCGCTAAATGTCCTTGCCACACTTTTGTCAATCACAAGTGTGTTTTCCTTCGATTTTTTCTTATTTTTTTGTGTATTATTTTTTTGTATTTTTGCGAGTCGTGCGAATGCATTTCATATTCATAAAAGTTGTCAAGTCGATGTGAGTGAGTGTGACTAAGCCGACAACTTACCAACGGGCCAAGAAATAATAATCGTTAAAATCGATTTGGTAGCAAGGGGGAGGAGAGCTCTACGCCAGCAATGATGACCTTCAACGGAGAGCAGTCTGCTCCTGCTCCTCCTCCTCCTCCTCCTCCTCTTCCTGCGCGAAGCTGAGAGCCGGGGAGATTTAAGCCAAATGCACGAATCGCTTTTTCGAGGGTCATAAATAAAAAAGCGAGCCGATTGGACCCTGACACTCCGCCCCCCTTGGATCCCCCTTCCCGGCTTATGTCACTCAGGTGCCCGACATGGCGCATATTTTTAGACGTTTAGCAGAACACACTAAAAATACATTGCTTTCTTCAGCAAAAGCCCACAATAAGGGAAGCGAAAAATGGACCAAAATAAAAACCTAGAAGGAACGACCGAAAAAATATCCCCACAAAAAAGGGAAAACAAAGCCCTGCCTGCACTCGGCGACCGACAGAATTCGCGGCGGGGATATCATAAAATGCCGAAATGCAGAAAAAGAAACTGAAACACAAGAAAATAGACATTAGCCAGCACAAAAGGCGATGCTGAGGCAGAGAAACGTGGCATTTCGATATTGATAGTTGATAGAATAGGGATTACCCTTAAGATTAGTAGTTGGAATAGATTTAAGAAGTAATTTTTACCTTTTAATATATAATTACATTTTAATTGAGCCATAAAACTTGCATAATTTGAAGGAAAAGTGGTCTTTAAAAGATTTAAATAATATAAGAATATTTTTTAAAGGATAAATATGAATGGCAGAATTTAATTAATTAAAAGAAGAATTTAACCAGAGATTGAATATTTAAAATATTTATTTTAAAGACAACATTAAGAAATTAAGACTGATATTTTATTTTAGAGTTTAGGGCAAAAAGTCAAACTTAGTTTATCAAAGGTTAATTTAAATGGATTTCATTGAAATAAATATTAAATATTAATCAAATTTTTTAGCTGTAATTTTAATTTTACAGTATTTCCTATATTATATAAAATATTTTAACCAAAATAAAAAAAAGTCCTAGAAACCCGACATAATAAAATTGTGTTTTCAACTATAAAGTAAAAATTAAGGTACAATTCCCCTCGGATCGTTAAAAACTTGCTTAGAATCTCATTTGGCTCTCCACTGAGACAAAAAATGATAAACTTGCCACTTGAATATGTGTGTGTGTGTGCGAGAATGTGAGACGGAGAAGCATAACAAAAAAAAATATATAAGAAAGAACGACAAAAAAACGGACAGAAAAAAACATTTGGCAAGAGCATAAAAATAAAAATGAAATAAAATGGCATAAAAAATGCAACAGTTCAGTGAGATAAACACAAAAAAGCCAAGGTAGAAAAGGCGGGCAGAATGTGCCTTAAGGGGGAGAGGGGAAAGGAAGGAAGGAAGGAGGGAGGGGAAAATGCTAAGGAAGAGCCCGAGGAAGCTGCAGCATTTAGACCAAAAGAAGGAGGATGGAAGACACAAAAAATGGGCCAGTAGCTTGGATTTCAGGCACACTAAAAACACTAACACACACACACACATCTACACGTGGACACACCTTGCCGAATTTTAAATGAGTCAGCTAACATTTCAGGTGAATTAAGGCGGGTGGGAGGAGGGTTAGGGGGCTTCGAGTAGGTTTCACGGAGGAGGTGGCGGTGGATCCTTCAATAAATGTCCAGTTGTCCGGCTTTTTCTGCTGCTGCCACTGCCGCCCCCGCCTTTGCCACTGCCTTTTTGGCCAACTTTGGGGGCCCGGCTTCGACACTTGGCACGGTTTTAATGTCCTGCCCAAGGTTAACACGAAGGGACACTGGGAAAAATAATAATAATAATTAAAAAATTAAAAATAAAACTTTTATGGCCAACTTCGTAAGTTCTTTAAGTGAAGAAAGGCTGTAAAATTATTTCAAGAGAGTTCTAAAATTAAATAAATTGTTAATAAATCCAGAAATGTCATTTGAAAATGACTATTATTTTGAATACTTTTAAAATTATGTGGTTATGTATTAGAATTGATTAAAAATATTAAAAAATGTATTAAATCTTTGTAGGAAAAAATCTTAAACTTAAAAAATACCCATTTTATTATTATAGATTGTAATCTTTGAAAGATATAAGAATATAAGCTTGATGTTGAGATAAATTTCTCTCGATGCACCTGCACAAAAAGAAACACACACTCTGGCAAAATGAAGAAGAGGCGGATAAAGCCGGCAAATAGAAATGAAGAAATACAAATTGTATAAAAAACGGAGAAGGTGTGCAAGTGTGTGTGTGTGTGGGAGATAGGAGGGGGAGGTGAGGGTTTGGTAAATGTGCCACAGAGATAAAAGCGTAAATAGAACTGAGGCACGAAAATTTTTCAAATTACCAGCAAAGAGGTTGAGGCAGGGCGAGTTTTCTTCTCTTCGTTTTTTTTTTTTTTAACTGTCACTGTTTGTGTGTGTGAACTTATTGAAAGTGCGAACACACACGCAAGTGAAAATGCCCATGCATACATATGTGTGGGTGTGGGGTGAAGAGCATACATCCTGCCAAGCGACCGCAGTTTAAACAAACTGCTTGGCCTGCCCATGTCCATGCTCCATATGCCCCACCTCATCACTCCCTCGCCAGAACCCCGCAACCTCACCGGCTATGCCATGTGGAAAAGTTGTCACCTTTCTCCATCCCCTTTCACTCTTATTTTCCCCCCCACCTTTGGCTCATTTTCCTTCCTCGTTTAGTGCACTGGAAAATACTGTTAAGAGGGTTTCTTTGATATATTTATACTAGATTTTCTTTGGCTTAAAAAAGGCTTCGAGAAAAATTATTAAAATTATTATTTTGTAAAATGAGCTACATGATTTCTGTATTTAATTAATTTATTTACAATTTAAGCATTAATCCCATGTTTTAAACACCGTAAAATCTCACAATATTTACACTTATATTGATTATCTTTTTTATTGTATAAAAATCCCTAGAAGCTTATCTCCTTATACAATTAATTACGAATAAAATATCCACTTATTATTAATCTCTTTTATCACATACAAAAAAAACCTAAAAACTTAAAAACCCAGTCACTATTTTATATATTTTTTCTGAGTGCCAACCTCCTTTGCTGACTTTGCGTGTGTGTAATGAATTTAAAGTTTGCTCCGCATACATTTTTCATACGCTTGCAAATTGTTATGGTTTTTGCAGCACCCTCACCCGAAAGCCCCATGTATCCACCTTGTATTAAGTGGGTGTCGTGTGTGTGTGCTGGCTTTTGTCCTTGTTATCCACACGAGACATGATTATTAATTTGCAATTCCTGCTAATTGCATGAGCTTCACCCACTCACCGCTTGCACCTGACCTACACCTGCCTTCGGGGCCCCGCTTCTCCCGTGTGTCTTTAATCGCTTATAAAACGTATTTTCTTTTATTTTCACATATT